GAGAATAATATCTCTCTACTGAGGTGTAAAGTTAGTCAAAGATAGAAAGACTGAGACCTTTTCCCATGTCCTAATTTTGTCTTCATGTTTTCTTTCAAAAAAGATATGCTAAATAGTAAAGAAATGGGGCATAAAAACAGTGTTCAAAGAAACACTCACACTTTCTTCTATTATGCCATGTTTTATAGAGAAATATGACCCATTATCTGAATCCGGCTGCTACAAGATTCTTTGCTCATTTGGTCGATTTTATGTTGATGGGACATGCCGACCTATTCGACAAAGATTGGGAGAACACAAAAATGTTCGCAAAGGTAGCTGGATCCAAAGATCAAAAGTAGCCAAAAACATGTCAGAAACTAGACATGAAATAGAATGGTCTCAAAGTAGTAGGTTTGCTGATTATGATGCATCTGCTGTTAAAAGAAAGTTAAGAGATGCTAATGGAATTAATAGATTAGGAAATACGTTTAATGTGAGGAACGGTGGTAGAAAGTTAAGAAGGAACTAGAGAGGGTGTTGAACAGCCGTCAAAAAGAAGGCGGTGATGGTTCTAACTTCACTCACACTCGTCCAACATGTAAGATTAATAGAAGTGGGTTGACCTCGTTGTCGCAACTTGGTCTTGTTGTCAGGGCGACTATGTAAAACACACCAAGTCGAAGGCGTCTGACGACTACTATGTCAGACGCCACATACCAGAGGCCACAACATCTTGGTCATCATATATACAAAGTCAGATTAAGCTCATCAACCAAACCAGACGCGCAAGATTACATAGCACCACTCTTGCCTTACCTTGAGGGTTTAAACGTTAGTGACTCTGGACTGAGAGGTTAGTGCAGGGGTTTCGTAACTTGACTTACATGCTTACAAGCTCATATTTCATTATCTCAACCAGACTTGCTTACAGACTTACGCAGTCTCGATTAGGGCTTTCTCTTGGGTCCTTAGGGTCATCATCTTTTTTTTCTTTTGTTTAATTGAGTCTCTATAAGAGTTAAAATAGAGCCGAATAGTCGTCTTGCCCTCGTGTCAACGTGAGACTTTTACAGGAACGAGATCCAGCCCTGATGATGTCTCTCAAATGATGGACGAAAGCTCAGCCCCTTTTCACCCGAAACGAGACAGAAAATCTCGTGAACTGCGTCAACAGGAACATCGTATCAAAGCGAAACGGCTACCGTACAACGAGATTCATCCGTCCTCATCTCTTCTTCATGCACTTTCATACGAAATGAAAGTCCTCTGACAATGCTTATCTTTCAGAAGAGATATGTCTTTTTGTCGAATTCACAGTGGCGTTATCACACTTGCTGTTTCCCTTCCTCCCCTCTCTTTCGAGTGGCTGATCCTGCTCCAGTCTCCTGTCCGGATCTGCTGCATGGACCTGTTTGAGCATACAAAATGCCGCACCTTCCTGGTCTTCTTACATTCGAGAAACATAATAAGATGCTCCATTTTCAAAAGCTTTTTTTTCTTATAGCATTGAACCTTGAAACAAAGATAGGACTGACTTAATAATCAGATTTAGCAATCTGAATCCTAATTAAATGGAGTTGCCTCATAACATCAAACGAAATAAAAGTTAGAGTTAATTAGTAATGTCAATTGATCAATTTTCCATTATTTTAATTGAAAATCTCCATGAACTTCCAGTAAATAAAATAACTGGCTGAGTCGTAAATAAACGAAACTCCTAATATTGTTCTAGTCTGTAAAATGTTGTAAATGCCATGCTGTCCATTACAAAAGAATGGAAACACCTAAAGTATTTTAAATAAATCGCGATTTTTTCCTTACTTGATGTGCATTCAGCGAACTCAGCAACACCATGTTACGAAAATATAACTCTTCTTCCTGAGACTTCACGTTCTGCAGCCCCTACTCCCACAGGCTGGAGTTCACTGTTGCCAAGATCAAAGCTTGAGGTCACCAGTGCAACTACTCCAACTTCTGATTTCCCAGACCCCGGACCGAACGGGAGCAATAGCACTAGTCGTCGGCAGGCCCGTTTGAGTCAGTTGGTGATAGCGGGACTCAGGAGCCCACCGGGTCTCGAGTTGGTTGCTCTCCTGCGTGAGTCCCCGGGGCCCTGGGAAACAACAAGAAGATCTGTCTTCTTTCCTAGCGCTGTAGATCAAGATCCGACCTTGGCAGAAGGTAACTGGGCGATGCCACTTTCGTAAGTCTGTAATGATATGGATGTTTAACTTGTACTTGATCTGTCCTGTCTTCTCCGAGCAAACTACCCGATTGTATGGAAAAGAAGAAAGTAATTGAGATTGCAGTTTAGGAATCGAGATGATCAAGTAGCAAAAAGCCTTTGAACAGTTCTGCATTTTAAACCTAACTTTGTTGAAGTTGTGAACACTTTTAAGGATGAGAATGAAATGGAATAAAAATCGAGTAAATGCGAAACAAAGTTGGGTTTTGAGTAATATCTTGTTTCATAATTGTTGAGCTTACTTCCATTTCGAGGAAAGTGTTTGATGAATAGATTCGAAGGTCGATTCCACCAGAAGACGACGGCGGATTCCTTTATACCAGCCGTCGATTGTCTTTACTGGAACATTCATGATGATGTTCGTCGCATGACGGACGAAAGCTTAGCACCTTTTCGCCGAAATCGAAGGAGATTACCTCGGAAACAGCTTCTGCATGAATGTTCTAGTGAAGCCAGTCGAAAGCTGTTCAAGAGGAATCGGCCGTTGTCTTCTGGTGGAATCGACCTTCAAATTTCTTCACCAAACACTTTCACTCGAAATGGAAGTAAGCACAACAAATAAAAACCGAAGTTGATCATTAAATCTCATAAATTAATCCCTATGGTCCAGAATTGGTTTATATCGTTTCATAGAATTAAGCTAATTTATGCGACTAAATAATTTGACTTTTAACTTTTGGTTGATTCCAAGCTCCATTTCACTTTGGATCTTAGATTTGCTCATAATTCTATTGGCAAGGATTATCAAGTCTTCAGCCCTCCAACTAGGTATCATGGCTTTTATTAATGTTTACCAGGCTTGTAGGGCATCTGCCCCAAGTAAATGGATAAACTATTTTCGGCAGGGACGTCGGAAACTACGATACTCTTGCAAATAAACTGATCTTCGAGAACAGGACTGCTTTTCCATGAGAAAATAAAGCATTTCCGGCATTCTAATTAAAGTATACTATGCATATATGGCATACGTTCCATATTTGTTGCGCAGACTTACTCTAATCATAGCAATATTATCGTCCGATTCTATTAATAAATAAATATAATAAGAAATGGAATAAAAAACTCTGCCATTTTGTTCACCTTAGTCTTATAAGTGAACTACCAAACTGTCATGAAAGACGAGACTTTGTTCGCTAATAAACGAAGGTAGGGAAATGATTACTTGTGTCAAATGAAACTGGTCTTTCCCAGCCGGCATAAACAGAAATATTATTATCTCAAGTAGAAGGATAGTGTTCTCCCAGTTAAGAAGATCAAGATTTTTAAAGATGTGACTAGTATCTATATTTGTAGTGTTAGAAAAAGACTAGAAAAAGATCTCGTACATGAATTACTAGTTCTTACAATCAAGAATGGCAACAAGAGCTGATAACAACATTAGATGTGGTTTCAGCACAGGCTCGCACAATACGTTATCCCCATTTTGCAGATACTTTCCTCTGGTCTCAGCCTCTCTGTGTTTGTTGGTTCAAAAGATAACTAACTTTTTAATCCTTTATGGTTTGTAAAGAGAGGACTCGAATGCACACATCACTAGTACATTTGGTATGAGAAAATAATTATTAAATTATTTGATTTACAATTTACAACTCATCCATGTTTCGTCCAATACTACTTGTAAAGTTGAACTCATAAGGTGAGGTGAGACATTTTTAACGGATATTAGGAAACATACCAAATACTATTTAATTCAATAAGGGGGCATTTATAATTTCATTATTTTATTGGAAGGCATTGATAGTAGAATTAGATGTTGTAAAATAATACGAGATGGCTTAAGACATTAAAAGTGAATGGAAGACTGTTAATTATGTTTTCAACAATGAAATGAGCCAGGAGCATCTTTATTCTGGTACATTTCTCATTCAACAGCCTTCAAAAAGGATTTCTTATCAGATATGGAGAGGAGCATGGTCAGCACCACCAATATTTTGATAGGCAAGGCTGAGTGTAATTTGTAAATGACATTAAATTAGGAAAGTAAAGTTGATTCAAAGCAATTTGTTATGTGATCCAACCGAAAACCGACAGAGGATTGCCGCGTAGATAAGACTGCAATATTGCGCGAAAACGTCCTCGGCTCGGCCTGCAACGCCAATCAACCTGTGCTAGGCTATCTTCTGTACTGCCGGGACAGACATCATCAGTGCGAGAATACACACTTTATAAAATAGAGCAAAAATATATTAATTGAAGATATGAATACCAAGATGTTGTGGCCTCTAAGAATGGTCGCAGTCTTCTTTCGATTTATAAAAGTGGGTTGACCTCGTTATTGCAACTTGATCTTGTTGTCAGGGAGACTTAATAGAACGTACCCAGTCCGAATTCGTCTACCATAATAGTTGTCATGACTTACAAATCCGTACCAAGTCCACGGTCTGATGCTGGGAATGATGACAACTACTAGCGCAGACAACTTCGGACTAGGTGCGTTCTATTAAGTCCCCCTGACAACAAGACCAAGTTGCGATAACGAGGTCAACCCACCTTTATAAATCGAAAGGAGACTGCGACCATACCAGAGGCCACAACATCTTGGTCTTCATATCTTCAATTAATATATTTTTGTGTATTCTTGCTCTGATGATGTCTGTTCCGGCAGTACAGACGCTAGCCTAGCACAGGTTGATTGGCATTGCAGGCCGAGCCGAGTACGTTTTCGCACAATACTGCAGTCTTAAATACGCGGCAATCCTCCTATGGTTTTCGGTTAGATCACATAACAAATTGCTTTAAACCAACTTTTCATTCGTTATTTAAAGGCATTTCCCTATATATGACTGACTAAGTCATCGTCACTCATTTTTTCTTTTCCTATTTGTATGTTATTCTATGGGATTCGTACTCCTACTCAAATTTTGTGGGAAAACTCTATGCTCAATTATGGTATTACCTTAAGCGATCTATTTTTATTTGCTTGTATTTGTCAGTATAGTCAAAGGGGATACAACATATGAGGTGAATAGATTTTAAAACTAATTTTAGCATGTGTATTAAACCTTTAGTAACTCTTGGTTACTTAAATTAGCGTAAGCCCCTTGCCCTCGGTGATTTTAAACGAAGTACTACTCACCCTATGTTTAGTAGTACATCTCCATGCCGCAGGGATTAAGTGGTACCAACAAAATATTCCCTTCATTTAATCCTCTAAATTTATTCTAGATTTGCCAGACCATCAAAATTTTCTATTGCAATTGTTTTTTGACTTCTGGATTCGCCTAGAGTTTTCCAAATATATAGAAGACTCTCACCTGTAAAGATTGACTACCGAATACTAATAGAATAGATGACATTACTGAGAAGCGAAAAGTGATTAAAGGGAAGTTTTGACAATTCCCAATATTTAAAAAAAAAATCTATGAAAGTGG